GGGGGGGCCACCCGGGATCCCTCGCCGCAGGGACCTCTGGAGCCCCCTGAGCCAGAGCCGGGGGCGGTGGGCACGTGCAGTCACCGTCTGGGCCCAGCCCTGCTTTCGGTTTTGCAGAAAATCGAGAAAAGAAGGGGCTGCTTTGTTTCACCTCGGAGCTGGCTGCTCGTGTTGGTAACCGCGTACAGGTCGTCTATCGGGTTCCACCGTGGACCCCTCCCCACCTGCAGGCACACAGCCTTGGGCCAGGACTCAGAGGCGCCCGGAGAGGGAGGTTAGCTCCTTAAACCACCCACAGCCTCAGTGACCTAACCTGTAGAATGGGGTAACACCGACTCCTATGGGCTGTTCCGGATTCAGGAAGCTCCGCTGTGCGAAAGCACGTCGGCTGTCTCCTCACACAGAGCCAGGCAGCACGTCAGCATCTCCTTTCCACGCAGAGGAGGCCCAAGCAGGGATCCACCGAGTGGGGACAGCGGCGTGGTGGGGGGACAGACCTGCTCTGGCTCGTCGCCCGCAGGGCCTGCCACGCCTCCTCCTGGGATCCCTTTCCCTGCTGCTTGTGGTGGGACGCTGTCCGCTGACCCACCTCCTCCTCCTCCTCCTCCTCCTCCTCTTTGGCTTCCCTCTTCCGCCCGAGCTCACCCTGGAGGAGCCGCAGAGGAGCGCCGCATGGGAGCCCAGCGCCTCGGCCTTCCACGGGTGACGGTCCCCCATGCTGCCCCGTGCTCCGCGGGCTGGGTAGGACTCGGGGTACGACACTGTCCCCCGGGATTCAGGGGCCTCGTTCCAGGCCTTCAAGTTCCCAGTGTTTCCGCTGAGAAGCCCAAGGCCATTGCGGCTCTTGAGCCTGTGTCCCCTGGGGAGCGTCTGGGTCTTTTCATTTCCCACGGAGATGCCTTGGGGGGGGGGGGGGGGGTGGGCACTGGCGAGTCCTTCGCAGGAGAAATCTCTGTGTTGGTGTGTTCGGCGTCCTTGTCTCTGCCCTTCTAGTCTCTGTCAGGCCAGCCAGTCGGATACCGACCCCTGAGGATGATCCATTCCCTACGTTTTGGTCTTTTTGATCTATTTCCTGAGAGATTTCTTCTACTCCGATCCTTCTCATAGGATTTTTCATTGTACATTTTCTTTTTTGTAAAATATTGTTTTGATTGATTTCAGAGAGGAAGGGAGACGGAGAGAGAGAAACATCGACTCATGGATCGCCTGCCTCCTGCACGCCCCCTACCAGGGATGGAGCCCGCCACCCGGGCATGTGCCCCTCCCTGACTGGAATCGAACCCGGGACCCTTCAGTACGCAGGCCGGGGCTCTATCCATTGAGCCACCCCAGCCAGGGCCATTGTACATATTCTTACACTAATTGACTAGCGACTCCACTCTTCCCTCCGGATACAATGTCCTGATTGTATCTGAGGAATGAAGCATTGTTTCTTTAGCTTCTCTCCTGCTGGTCCTTGTCTCTGTTTCCTTGTTTTGTTTCCTTTGGTCTCTTTCACTCTGAAGGCCATTCATTCGCATTTACGAGTCGAACCCGGGACCCTTCAGTACGCAGGCCGGGGCTCTATCCATTGAGCCACCCCAGCCAGGGCCATTGTACATATTCTTACACTAATTGTCTGACTAGCGGACTCCACTCTTCCCTCCGGATACAAAGTCCTGATTGTATCTGAGGAATGAAGCATTGTTTCTTTAGCTTCTCTCCTGCTGGTCCTTGTCTCTGTTTCCTTGTTTTGTTTCCTTTGGTCTCTTTCACTCTGAAGGCCATTCATTCGCATTTACGAGTCAGGTGGGAGGAGCTGGCGGCGGCTGCACAGGGGCTGGGAGCTGAGCTGACCTTTCACCTGGGACCCCCACCTCAGCATCCACGGGGCTCTTCCTGGGCCGCCTGCTTTCTCCAGTGGTGACTCAGTGGCGAGACCCAAACCCGAAGCCTGGGCGGGGGAGGGGCTGGGCTCCGGGCTCAGTGTGGCTGCCAGCGGCCCGTTTGGGGCCGTAACACTCAGGCAGTGAACTTGATAAAAGCCCCAAGAGATGCCCAATGACGCCAAGGAGAACTTCAGCCCACCAAGGGCTTTTACTTCCACCATTTCCAACTGGGCCACCTTCCATGTGCTGGTGGAGAAGACCCAGACCTGGACCCGGACCGGTCCGGCCCTCGCCTCCTGTCATCAACTCTCACATCGTTCCCAGGTCGGCCTGCGGAGGCCACACTTACAGACCCGCCGCCGCCGCCACGTCAAGAACGAGGACCTGTTTTTCCGCTTGGCAGGGGCTTCTGACAGAGAAATGAAAGGGACTCGTAGTTCGGGGCCGACAGAAAGCATCACTGAGTGTGTGACCTGGTCGGGTCGCCCGTGACCTTCTGGGGGAGAAACACAGGAAGGAGATGCTGGGACGATCCCAGCGGACACTCCTCGTGGGAGAAAACACCGCGGCCACCAGCACGCGGCTGCCCGCTCCTTCAGGGTCCGTTCCACCGAGGACGAGGACGGGGACGGCTCAGGGCCGCCAGGCGCGAGGAAGAGCTCCATCCCCCCCATTCCCAGCGCCCGCCGCCCCCACTTCCACTGGCTGAAAGCGAGACCTTTTTAGGGAGAAGAAAAGGCCTCGAAATATTCGTGGTATTTTCTGTGCTTCGATGCCAGGCTACGCTGCTGGGTAAGGCGGGTCTGAAACACGCTCATTAAACAGTGTACGTTTAAACACCGACTGTAATGACCAGAAACAGGCTCTTCTGCACAGAAGAAACGATTAAAAACTGAAGGCAGAGGCCCTTACGAAGATGAACGCATTCTGTCCCCCAGCTGTGCCCATTTAAAATGCCGCGCTGACTGAAAAGGTCTTGTTTCATGTTGCAGTTCTAGAATGAACCCCAAAGGGACCTGCTGTGTACAGAACAGATCCTTCTCTGGGACGCAGCGAGCTCTGAAACGCATCCCCGTTCCTCCAACAGGCCTGGCCGAGCCCTCGGCGCTCCCTGCCCACCCCCAGCTCCTGGGCTCAGCTCCCCCCGCC